ATTGTAAAACTTACATATTTATCCTTTATTGTGTATATATATGTTGTTTGATATGAGAAAATACTTTTCAACAAAAAAATAAAACAAAATAAAATAAAATGGTAGGAAAAAACATACATGGATGACGTCAACTTTTACTCCATCAATGCCGACAGATGCCAAGTGAGAGTGTAGACCTTCGTACAACTCATTAACTTTCTCCGGTGGGACCAACCCAACTCCGTTATTGACGATTTTATCAACGGCTAGATCTTCCATCGTCTTCTTGAGTCCAGGCGATAACATGGGTTGCACCACACTAGATTCTGGAAGCCCAGGGGTATTGGGCCTTACACCACCCCAATATCCACAAAGAGCATGCCACACATAAACATAATCTACACTTTTAAAATCTTCCTTTAAATCCCTAACAAAGCCTCCCATGCCTTTGTTAGGGTTTTCCGGTTTCGTACTCTTATAGTCCCGAAACTTATAATTTTCTACAAATTTAGTCAGTCTGCAGGGCATTTGCTCACCTGCAGCTGTTCGGTTCATACCTTCAGAATCAACTGGATCGTCGTCGTGACTTATTGATTGCCACCCGTCATCAAGCAAAACGAGCCCAGGTGGGCACCCACCTTCGACTAGGGCTTTCACACCTTCGAAGACACCTTGAGGTTCCACGGTTAGATAAAACGCGTCCCATGTACACCATCCAAACTTGTCGACAATGCCAGGTGACGTCTTATCCTCCAATAGCTTAAAAGTACCAAGATGCTCTTGAACGGTTCTCATTGCTTTTTTAACAAGGGCATAAGGATCATACCCTGCTTCCATGTAAATGACACTTTTAAAAGAAGTGCCAGATACTTTTGTGGACCCACTCTCCACACAAACATCAACTAAATCGTCATTTCCGGGCTGGATAGAAGCCCGAAAATGACCTTCCAGTAATGGAAGTATAAAAACATACGGACGACCAGAGTCGGACTTCTCAAGCATGACCATCTGTGTCTCTTGCTCAAGGTCTCGACCGTTTGAACCAACCCAGTGAGTGGACCACCAGACTTTAAACCGAAAAATACTCATGAACCGAATGCCACTAAGCTTCCCAATTGGAACCACATGTCGGCTATTCGATTCTGAAGCTTCAAAACCAACAAAACAACCATTTGAAGATGTATAACAAGTAGTAACATTCGATGGGACATCAGATAAAATGACATGGTCGTTAGCCATGAAATTGGATCCAACCAGTTTCACCATAGGCGTAGGATGAACATCATCCAACAATTCGGTATCATCGGATTCAATCTTGAATAAAGTAGGTGTCATTTAGATGAAATTTCTGAAAACTAAGATAGAATTTGAAGAGGGTGTACTTGTAGGAAAGTGAATGGATCTGTGTTGTAATTCAATGTTGATGTTGGTGGTAGTTAGTGGGGAATTTATAGGGAAATTGGTGTGCATATGGGGCAGCTTCCAGAGAAGGTCCACATGGTCGGTAGGATTGTTTCTATTTTTATTTATGTTTATTTTATTTCATACGTTAATAATATATTTGAGCAATTTATTTAAAATATAAAAGCTTAGTCAAAAGTTCAAAAATATTTCCATGATACGTGTCACGACGTATCTATACAGATGTAAGTTCGATTTTCTCATTCATGAATGCATCGATTTATTTATTATGTTTGATGTTTGATTTATAACGAAAAAATGGATGAATATAAAGATATATTTATAGAAATATGACGAATAAATAGAACGTGTTCAAAATGATGAAGATATTTGTTCAAAATGTATTTTTAATATTTTTTTGCTTTATTCAAGAAAAAGATTACTACGGTAACAAAGTATTGTAAAAATAGACTCGGATATCTAGATTTACTCTGCGAGATCCAAATATCATAGCTAAAAGACAACCAACATGTTGATCATAAACATCTACAAATTTAAAGATTAGACTAGGATATTTTCATGTTGATAAAGTCTACGGACATCATAGCACAATATATTTATTTAAGACAAAACTGTGTTCTTGTATTTTTTTTATCTTCAGAATTTAGTTTAAACTATTATATTTTTGAATTTCTGGTCTTTTTAAGTTAGTTTACGTATGGTTTTGATTTCATAGAAAACTAAAAAAACTAAAATGTTCTTTTTGTATATTTTTGCTATTTAATTTAATGTTTTATTAATAATAATATGGGCCCACATCTCTCTCTCTTTCTCTCTCTCTCTCTCTCTCTCTCTCTCTCTCTCTCTCTCTCTCTCTCTCTCTCTCTCTCTCTCTCTCTCTCTCTCCACATCAAGATTTCTAACACCCAAAACCCCAACTCTCATCTCCTCCTCCTTCTTCATGTCCCCCCCTCATCTCATTCTCCTTTTGAAACTTTATGGTTCCGACACATCACCAACCTCAAAACTCTGACGACTCATTTCTTATTTAATATTCCAAATCTAAAGAACATGAGGTATGTTAATGTCGTTTTAACTATTCCCTTGAAGGCAATGATGCTAATGATTGGAATCAATCTCGCGTTTAATCGAGACTTGGTGGATGTTGGTACGCTGCCATGATGTTTGCGTTGAAGTTGGTAAAGGAAAGGAAGGTCTCATAGGACTCCATTATCCACTGTAAAACCCCATTCATGGAAGATGTACCCATTTATGATGTGGCCATCTATTGTGATATGTCTCCGGCTTAACTCCGTCTCTTTGAAGGATGGAATGAAGGGCCTGAGAATCACATCAAAAGAAACAGGATCGTCAGTCTATGTCCGGGAGGCAGTCCCGGAACGAAGCTCCGACGATCAAGTTAGTTTGTGTCTTAGAGAGAAGGTGAAAAAGTATTAGGCAAGTGTTTTAGGGTTTCTTTTTCGATCACTTCTCTTAGAGGAGAAAGGACCTTTTTATACCTGTGGTCGGGGGACCAATCCCTGACAATATCTTTTACCTTTTCAGGCTTGGCAAGGCTAGACGGACTTTGATTGGTAGATCATGTTCCGCGAGTAATCGTTTTCCATTGGTGCAGAGTTGCCAGGAGCAACATTCTGAGCGTTACACCTGTCGCTCTAAGAGGCGTTTGGTACTATTTTGTCTTGACACTAGCATTGGCGCCAAGGAATGAATATGGGATCACAAGAGCGAGGGCGAAAGCGAGGACCCGACGTTAGGCATACGCCGCTCTTTGCCCAAACCGTCTATCAGACTGACGGTTTTGCTATTTTTGATGTATTCCTGGTGGGATATGTTAACAAGTCCCCTAGGCTAGTAGACGTCAGTGTTTGCTAAGGGTAGCTAAGTAGTTCTAGCTTAGATCTGGGAACATGTTTGGTGGGAACGATTCATGATGTGTTTATGATGTAATAGAGTCGTTCTGGCGAGATAGCATCATTTCGTTTCGTTTCGTTTTTTTGTTTTTATTATTATTATTATTAAAGGGCCCTCTACTTTAGGAACAGTTATACGCTTTCTCTATCCACAATCTGTCGTCTCATCCTCTTTTATCGCTTCTCCTTTCTCCCACATTCTTCCTCTTCGATTCTTGATGGCCTTTGTTAGATCCGGAATCACTCATACACCCGAGGAGTTTGAGTCTTTTCAATTCTGGTTTGGATTCATGCCTAAGCATGGAGTTCAATCCCCATCGGAAGGATCTATAATTTATCAACCACAATAGGGGAATGTGGGTATTCTGGTAGCGATCTTCGAGGTCGGATTTTGACTTCCTGTTTCTGATTTCTTCGACGAGGTTATGCGAGAATATGGTTTCTGTGTTCACAACTTGACCCAAAACGCTGTGAACAAGATAGTTGGGTTTGAGTTAGGGTGTCGAGCGTTGGGTGTGCTTCCCCATCTTCAAGCATTATAGTCTTTCTTCAATTCGTCTACCCATTCAGGTGTTCACACTATTTCTCAGCACTGTAACACGCACTCCTTTATAGTTAACCAGAAAGCGTCTCGGAAGAACTGACAGGATCGGTGGCTGTAGGTTAACAGTAATTTGGTTGGGAGTGGCTATCCTCATGTGACCATGGCTTCTGATCGGGAACCCCAACTGTTGGGGGTCGGTTTTTCGGTGGCCTGCAGTTTAAAAGAGATTTGTTTTAACAATGAAGATTGGTCGGAGTGTATATTGGCAGCAGCTGGAATGAGCGCTGCTTGGCGGTCACGTGGAAAGATGCCTCAGTTTTTTGTGGACAATTATGGTAACTGCTACCTTCCTCCCCCCTACGCCCCTTTTTTGCCTTTCTTTATTTGATATCAAGTTTTGTTTTGCGTTGTTGCCGTTGTAGGTAGCGAGAGGCTTTTATCTCTTGAACATGTGATACGAGGGGATTTTGAAGGGGATCTTTAGTATCATGAAGTCCCTCATGTGGAGACGCTACCAGGTCCAGCCAAAGCTGTCCTTGTTTTTAAGGGTGATGTTTATGCTCTTGAGGTGGGGGTCAAGGCTACTTCTCCGGTCAGGGGATCAGGAGTGGCTAGTGGTCAAGTTGTCTCCTGACTTCGGTCTACTGTTGTGAATTCTACTATTGAGGAGGATATCGGTGGCAATACTATTGGTCGGTGTTTGCATCAGAAACTCAACATCGATCCTCTGCTTGCTAAATCACCCATTGTTATTGAGATTGCTGATGGTGACGACCCGCAAGCAATAGAGACATTGGGTTTGCGTCGGCTGGGAGAACCAAGCATTATGGGAACTCGATCTTTCCGCCCTCAGTTTCAGGTGATGCCCTATCGGCGGCGGGTCCTTCATCTTTGAGTGCTTCTGATGTGTATCTCCCGGGGTGGAACCTTATTTCCGGTTCCCTTTTATCAGAACAGGGTCCCACCTGTGAGTGATCCCGACATGCATTTCCTTCAGCTACCCTGGAGGCCCTCAATGCTCACATAGCGAGTGATCTTTAATATGATGTTTGCTCAGGTTGCTCCTTACTTGGTGGTGGTTACTGGTCGTCTTCGTTACATAAGGGACAATTTAGCGGAGTTGGCTACTATTAAGGTAGAGCATGAAAGAGCTTGCGGAGGAGGTTCAACTTCTCGAAGAGGAGCAACGCAAGTTTGATGAACGCTACCTCGTGCTATCTGGGGAGAAGAATGATGTAGAAGATCAGGTGGCAACTCTAGATGGGGAGGTTAGTCTCTTATCTCAACAAGTATAGAATTTGGTGTCATAGAAATAAGCATTGGTGGAGCATTTGGCACTATGAGACGATCAGTTCACCGTTGAGGTCTTGAGGAGGAAAGTCTTGGCGGATGATTTAGCTTAGGTTCTTCATAAGGGGGTGGTTCGTATGGTGGACCTTGTTGTTGAGAGTCGTAAGTTCATGCTTGGGATTCGTCGTGTGATGGTTGTGTGTGTGGCTACTGGTATAGAGAGGGAGAAGCAAATGGCACATGTGTGGTCGGCTGGAAGCGGTCCTGGCTCGTCTGATCTGGACGCTGCAACATGGCTTATCGATGCAATGCATGCTGCCATCAGGGCTTTTCCAAGATGGACTTCGTGTATTATCTCCATTTGGGCGAGCTCTTCCTTGCTGATCTTCGCCAACTATGCTCAAAAGAGGAGGATCTCGTTTCAAACGGTGGTTTTGAGGGCGTTGCCTCGACTCAACCTCGCCAAGGTTGATTTTTGTTGTGTGTTTTTGTATGTTTGCTGTTTGTTTTTCATTTTTATGTGCTTTCTGGAACGTTATTATATTCGACTTTGCGGGGTCTTCATCGTTAGTGTTTACCCATTTTTGTGAGCTTCTCTCTCTCTCTCTCTCTCTCTCTCTCTCTCTCTCTTTCTCTTTTTTTTTTTGTGGGGGGGGGGGGGGAAGGTGTCTCCCCAAAGTGTATTTTTTAGGCCTTGATTTTGGTCCTTAGGAGGGTAACCAATTGACTCTCTTTTGTGGTCGCTTAAGGTGAGCCAAGATCGTTACCTCGAGACTCTCTAGACTCGTGTGTGCTAAGTTGTCAGGGAAAGGTTATGATCCTTTGAACCCTTTGAGTATGTCTGGTTTGAGAGACTGGAAGCTTTATTGCTTGTTTGAGCCGACACTCATAGAGGGCTCATCTCCTACTGAGATTTGTAGCTGCATGTTGGCGGTTTGTTTTGCTCAAACAATGTGGGTGATCAGCCCGTGTTATCGTTTGGCAAATTTCACACCCCTTCTTCTCTGTTTTTGTTCCTTGTGTTGGTATGTATGTTTATATACGTATGTGTGTACGTTGATTAGTAAGGTTAGTCTACTATCTTGCGAAACTTTATTAATCGGAAAGTTTTGGAGACAACTTAAGGATCTTCATGTCAACATTTGACCAAGGTGTAGTTCTTAGGCTGGAGGTATGGGCGTCACTACCCCCCTCATTTGGTTATACCATTTGCTAGTTGTTTTACAAATAAAAGTGGCGTAGGTTGCACGCATTCCATGTTCGAGGTATCGGTCACTACTAGAAAACATGCCTTTAATGACGCACAAACAATGATATGCGCTGATAGAGGACACACATTTGTGCGTGCCCTAAAAAATAATGTCATTTTTGCAAAATATGAAGGATAAAGGACACACATTTGTGTGTGCCGTAAAATTAGTGTCAACAAAGAAAAAAATGGAAATGCGGAGGGCGCCTTTCATAAAATGTGTGTCATCTAAGTGTGTCGCTTTATAAATTTTTAATGAAACACGCGTTTTAAGCAGGATTTCACCCGCATATTGGATTTTAAAAATTAACACCCCCCTCGCATCTTCCATTTAGCAAGAAAAAGCCCTACGACCTTCGTCTTCATAGCATGATTGCTCTTGCTTTCGTGATCAAATGCCTCGCGACGATGATTGTTTTCCTCTCAGTGTTGTAAGGCGGTATAGGGACTGGTGTTATGCATTTTCTTTACTCATTGACTCATACACATTCTGCAATCAAGGAGCTGAACTCATGGAGTTGGCGATTGGGGTCTGCTACTCCTCATACTCAAAACGCCGATGATTTTAAGGTTTTTTGTCCCTGATATCAAAGAAGGACTAGGGATTTTATGTTCTAGACCTCACAAGTGTGCACATAAGAACTAGCACTTTTATATCAGTGTGTTCAGGCAGAACAACAATATCCGCTCTTCCTCCTCGATAGGTCGGTTCTGGGGTTTTGAAACTATATGGCTCAAGTTAGAGGTTGAAGATCAGAAATCGAAGGTTGACGGTCAGATTTGGGATTAGAATTCGGGGGTTCATGGTTAGATTGGAAGCATTAGAAATTGGGAAAGGAAAATGGAAGAGGCACTAGGTTTGAATATCATTCTCTTCTTCTCCATGTATGTACCCTAGGTTTCTTTCTCTTACTTTATCATTCTCTTATTATAAATTGGGGCTCTCTGCATTCTCACATACGTCTCTCATCTCATTTTACATAACCTTACACCAACAATGTCAACAATCACCATGGATGGTACCGGTAAGGTATATACACACTTTTTCATTTTATATATTTCTTATATAATATTAGAACTAATGGTTGATATATCACACACTTAATTTGTCTACTCATGAAGCTGTTTTGGAGGGTATCGCCATGAACACGAATCAGTCTCTGTTAGGTCAGTTACTGATGCACGCCCACATGGTCCTGGATATAATGTTTATTTTAGGTTTTCACCCAGACGAGACCATTTTTTGCTACCATGCCTATCGATATGCACCAAAAGGACTCGAGAACAAGATAATTGAACTACAAGTGTCGGGTTGACCGCAAACCCAATAATCAACTTTTCTGGTGAGGTGGGGGACCAATGGTGGCTCAAGAAGCGATGTTTCATTTGACTTCAAAACTGGAAATTTCACCAAATACAATGTTTTAGATACAACCAAGTCAATGTCAGTCAAACGTGCATGTCCTTCTCCTATGGGAACATCAGGGAAAGACATTGTAGTGTTGTTCAGTGAAGATGCTTTATCAATTATTGATGCACAACAGGAATATGCAACAAACAGAGATGATGAATTAGATATTTCTTCTTTACAAAAAGATGGAGGGTTATCTTTTTCACGAGTTAAAATAAAGGGAATGGTGGGAGGTTATCCTTTTGAAAAACTAAGATCAACTATTGACATTCTATTTCTTTGTAGAAGTTCAGATTTGGTTGTAGCAATACAATCAATTGTATCCTTTTGTGTTATATTGTTTTGTTTAATCTTTCTTGTTTTTTACGATATAGAAATATGTTTTGTGTCTTCTTTAACTTAAAGCAACTCTTATATTATCTGTTTGATCGACTTTGGAAAATACCTGAGGACAAATGGAGATATTGTGTAGATGACTTTTCTTCTACATTTAACATATCAAGCCTTGATGACCATAGTGATGAAGCCGTACAGGTGTGTCTATATCTTTCCTTCATCTTTTTTTTCATGTATCAAAGATCCATTTGCACAAAATTCAAGAAAAAGAAAACAAGACATGAATTATATGATGATGATTTTGAAAGTGGGAGTAATTGGTTGGAAATACTGGTTATAGAAATTTGTATTCTTTGTATTAGAAGAAATTTAGTTGACCGAATTATTGGGTTAACATGGAATGTTGATGAAGAAAAACATCTTCACAAATGTCTTTTGGATTATGCTTCTGATGAACCTTTGTCCAATACTAGAAGTCTTCTTGTTGTCTTCTATTTACAGGTATCTTATAAATATTGACATATAATATATTATATTATTATTATTTACTAATTATAAATTATGTTACTAAATTTAATGGTTTATTGTTTTTAGCATTAATGATATGTGGAAGCATATCATGATGACCAAAAGCTTCAAAGTATTGAACATGAATTTGTTTCCAAGAATTCCATTGATGATGACGTGGCAAACAGAATGAGTTCTATTCAATATATGTGTTTCTACAGGACAACAATATACAACTACTGCCAGAAGTTGAGCAAGAAAAGGTGAAAAATGGTGAAATGATCGAATCAATAGCAACAAAGTTCTTAGTTTTGTAGTAGGTTGTGAATGGTTTGCTTGAAAGAAAAGACTAGGAAGTTGCACTCAAGATGCCTCTTGGAGTCTTTCTTGTATCTTGTCTCCACCACATATAATAAGCCACAAAAATTGAATATAATGAAGCAAATATTTCAAATTAAAATAATTTTAAAAAAAATACCACTTGTAGTGGTCAACGCTTAGTCAACAAGAGATTTTAACTGAATGTGAATGCTTTGAAAGACATGAATTGGGACTTGAGTCAATGGTGTCCACTTATTGATGACATATGTTTCTTACAATGGCTTGTTAAGGTTCCATCTGAAACAAAGCAGCTACGGGTAAGACAGATCAATGCTAAGCAAATTAACAAAGTAGAAGAACTTTGGAAGACAAATCCTAATGCAAGTTTGGAAGATCTTGAGAAACCTGGTGTAGATGATGAACCTCAACCTGTAGCCTTAAAGTACGAAGATGCTTATTAGGTTCTATAAACTTTTTTAAGTATGTGTGACAAGGGAAAATGGTCTTAATGTTCTTTTATGTATTGAGTTCACTAATTTAATTTATATTTTAGATGGGACATGAAGAAATAAGTGCTAGTAGGACATCCTATCTTAATAGAACAGAGGCTGCAAATGTTGAAAAAATAGTGACTACTTTTTTAAAAAGTGGTGTATTTCCAAGTAAGGTATATATACATGTCTGTATTTTTATAAAAAAATGGCATTTATAGGCAATAATTAATTTAAATATTATGCAGATACGGGTTATAACACCATATGAAGGCTAGTGTGCAAATATTTTTAATTACATGTCATGAAACAGTGCACTTAGACAACAACTTTACAAGGACATCGAGGTAATTTCACATTTTTCTTTTCTCATTTTTCATAAATTCATATAATTTATGAGCTACATCTTGTATACTCAGGTTACAAGTGTGGATTCATTCAAAGGGAGAGAAAAAGATTACATTACATTATCATGTGTTAGAAGTAACGAACATCAAGTTGGTTAATATTTTTTTTCCCAATAAAAGTTATATTTTTACTCAAATTGCTTATTTTAAGTTAAAAGAGTAAATTACATTGCTATATTTGTTAATACAGGTTCATACATGCCGACTAGGGCTCCAAATGTTGCTCATAAACCCGATCTGCATTATCCTGTTCCCCGTGTTTCGCCCATGCATGCCGTCTTATGGTAGTCCTCAGCCTTACGCCAAACCAACATGCGGTGCAATTCATGGATCCAGGTAAGTGTCATGATTCATTACTCTTTAACATTTTTCACATATTTTATGATTAATAAATTATTATTATTATTTTTATGTAAAAAATAATATTTAGGCTTCTCAAGATGGATATAGTGTTGAGTATGTGACTCCAGCCACCCAAGGTGGTTTTCCTGGCCCCTTTAAAAAAAGGTGGTTTACCTGGCAAATTTTTAAATCAAAATTTGCAATCTGGATTTTCATGATTTGGTAGTGGGAATGATTTCATGTCTCAGGTTTGTTATATTATAGGAAATAACAACCTACTTTTACATTTATTCAACATGCAAATATAATTTATATTTTTGACTTGGAATTTATTTTAATTTAGATTATGTGGTTTCTGTTTTTAACACGGCTACATCTTTACACAAGTTGGATTTTTCGATCCATCACAAGATGATTCTTCACAAAGTCACTTCACTTCAGTAGCCACCACCACTTGTCTTCAGACACAAGTCAATCTTTTATAACATCTTACTTTAGGGTAGAAATGCATTATTGAATTATTTTATTAATAGATTTGAACTTTAGGGTAGAAATGTAATTTTGAACTTTAGGGTAGAAAATTAATCAATAGACAGTTTCTTCATAAAGATTTTTTCTTTCAAATTAACAATTGAGACATGTTAAGAATTTGTTGGATAAAAGCAACTCTTTTGAGAAAATGGTATCTACTTTCATCATAAGCAAATTCTTATTTGTTGCAATCAACAACCCCAATCATCATATATTGAGAAGTGAATAGAAAATGACTTCCTATTAGATCTTGTTATTTTATGCATTCAATATGTTCTTGCTATATATAAACATTAAATCTTTGTTGCTTTTTTCAAGTTTTTTATAGATATACAAGTTTTGCATTCTTCATTTCAACTGTTAGTTGTACTACTAATGATGGAAGCTCCTAATAAAGGAAATGGAAGAAGCTGCATGAAATAGATTTTTTGTATGAAACACAGAGTAGATTAGATGAATGCAAATTTATATATTGTAAGAAATAGAATTGTATGATATTAAATTTTATTCAATGGATTGTATTTTTTGTATATGGTATTTTATTTCTATTATGAGACATTAAATGCAAATTTAATTTAAAAATTAATATATATATATATATATATATATATTATAACATTTAAATTTACGATACACAAAAATGTGTGTCATCTTCATTTATGACATGACCTTTCTTGATAGGGGTTTTAATGATATGCATTGCGTGTCATAAATGCGCGTCGTAAATGCGCGTCATCTATAGACGACGCCCAAAAGTGTGTTGTATCTCGTGATGATAGGGCCTACTTTGACGCGTATTTACGCATCGTCTGAGCGTTTTACGACACACATTGCGTATCGCAAAAGGCTGTTTTTTTAGTAGTAGGTCTCCCATCTTGTGCTTCTAGTGTGTATGCTCCATCTCGGTGCGTCCTCACTACTTTGTATGGTCCTTCCCAGGTCACACTTAGCTTGTCCAGTGGCTCCGAGTGGCTAGCCTCGTTCTTCCTCAGCACCCATTCTCTTACTTTAAAGTTCTTTGCCCACACTAATTTGTTGTATAAGTTTTATGTGTGAGCTTTGTAGGCCGCTTGTCGCAGTCGAGCAGCTTGACGTTTCTCGTCTAGCATGTCCAGGTCTTGTCGTTGCTCTGCCTTGTTCGAGCATGCATTGAAACCAATTACCCGCAATGATTCACTCAGAATCTTGAGTAGGAGCACAACTTCCGTGCTGTATGTCAGGCTGAAGGGTGTCTCTCACGTCCCTGACCTCAAGGTAGTATGGTACGACCACAATACTATTGGCACTTCTTCCTTTTAGGCCCCTTTTGTTTTCATCAGATGTTTCTTAAGCCCATTCACGATGGTCCTATTTGATACTTCGGTCAAGCCGTTCTCCTAGGGGTGTGCGACTGAGGTAAAGCGATGATGGATCCGCTTCTCCTCGTACCATTCGTTGAAGGGAC